TGTCCAGAAGTCCAACTTTTTGTGCGATGGTTTGCGTCTTATGTTATTAGGTTCTTTTTTCAGACCAAGAATTTGTTTTCATACCTGACAGTTTCGACTGCTCACTAGCGCTCTTCCTCAGAGTGGTCATGTGATGTTTCTGTGACGTGTCCATGGAACTATAAACCGGGACGAGGGGGCTTTGTTACTCTCACACACCTGGGATTCTGTCCTGAGGAAGTTGGACTGCAGATGGCGCTGTCGTCCTGCCTCCAGCAGTAGGAAGACAGCGCCAAAACCTGTTTAAATCAGCTGACCGGACACGCCACAGAAACATCACGTGACCACTCTGAGGAAGAAATTATCGGAAGACCAAATGAACCTCATGGGTTTGCGTCTTCCTCTGCCTTTGTCGGTGCAGAACATTTTGTCGACATTGTGGGTTTTGTCGGGGAGAAACATACAGCACTTCAGAATCACACTGCTAGAGATCAAACATTTATGTAAATTTGTCAAGCTGAACGCATTCTGTACTGTACAGGAGATTGATGGACAATGGTCTACAGTCTCTTAGCCAATCAGGATGCAGGGCGAGGAACACAATGCGCTTTCATACACTGTTAAAAAAATAAAATAAAATAAAAAATCAGCGAAACAGCAAGGCCGCGAAAGGTGAACCACATTATAGTGAAGGACGACTGTATACTCAGCTTGTCCCATAGCACTTATGTTTCTCAATGGATCAAGCAAGTGGTGGACGCCCAACAGAAAAGTTACAAAATGCTCCTTTAAAAACAAATATGTGCATTCTGATTTGTGTTAGAAAACATTAGTGTGTCAACTAAACTGTGGACATTTATATCATCAAATACAATTTTAATGAGCTAAAAACTTCAAATTCAAAACTATGTCAAAGTGCTTTTTATCCATTCGCTTTCACTTGCGTATCCGGACAGTTGTGTAACGCTTATGACATTTTCCCATGAAGAGTAGCTGTACTATTTCATGATTTTGACAGTGAGGATCCAAAGCCAACTCAATAATATCCACTGTGGAATCCCTCTGAAACATTTCTGATATGCAGCTCATAATTCATATTCAAACTAGTGCATAGCGGGCAGGTCACTGTAACCCTCACCCCTGTATCTATGCGAGTCCCGAAACATGTTTTCATATCTTTCTTTTAAGTCCGTCCAAAAATATCAGATGAAATTACAGCATTGACGGACAACCTACGGACATGGTAAGGATTAAAATTTAGTGGCGTATATTTCATTGTTGAGAGTCGCACTGGTGTTGAACCCAATTACAAAATAATTAACTTGGAGCCATCTACAAAGTAATCTGATGATGAGCAAACAGAATACCAAAATGCTTCTGGGAATCGTCTTCTCATTCCACTCTGAGGTTCAATGAGTCCATCTGTATAAATATCAGCGGTAACGGTCTGAACGCTAAGGTTGGACTTAAGTAATCGCAAAGATCTATGCCTTGTGTGACTTTTCTGGTGGAGGGTTCGACCGATTCTTTTCTTCAAGGAGATGTTACAACTTTGTCTGGAATGTTTTCGAGTATTGTCACGGAGACCAAACCAGGCCAGGTTACAGGTCAGATCCGTGGAGAGGCCAACCCACTCACAGTCAGAACGTCTGATTTTCTAGCTATAAAACCACTTGTAAATGAATACATGTAAGGCAGAGCTGTTTAATGTCATACTGTGGAACATTTCAGGCAGAGCAATGACATATCCATAGAAACAAGCAGGTGATAGACCCTTCAAGAGAAAAGTTACACAATGCACCTTTAAGTTAATGCTAGTATAGTGCACAGCCCGTAATAAACAAACAATAAATAAACAAACGCGGACAATTTCTGAAGTTATCACTGGCTACACTCCAAAAGTTAATTTAAAATATCAATCAATCAAACTTTATTTATAGAGCACTTTTCATACAAAAAATGCAACCTAAAGCGCTTATATGTCACTCCTTTTTGTGGCTATTTTTTGCTCTAACAGCACGAAACTTGGCACTGCGCACACTCCTCCCATTAAAATGACACCCTCTGAATTTGAGATCAGTTGGATGAGTGGTCCGAGAGTTATGCGTGGAACGGACAAACAAACAGGAGGACACACACAGACGGACGTTCTTCACATTAATAAATAGACAATACAGAGAAATTCCCGGAGAATAGCCCATATTATGCTATTTTCTGATCTATGTTATAATGTTGTATTCTTATCAAAAAACAACTCTGGACACAAATCTTGCATATTTATTAGGAGTTCTTCTCTCAAACGGAAAACACTCCAACTTGTGATGTCATATGTTAATCCTGGAAGTGCTGCGCTGTTTTTAAACTCGATACACCTTCACTAGAATCATTTCTGCTTCATGACATCACAAGGTGGAATAAAGCATTTTGAGCTTTAGAGATATAGACCGACTAATAGTAAAGGATTCCTCAAACATGTGAATGAAACAAAACACAACTCCAGGTCTGTTTTTGAGGAGGTAACAAGAATCTATTTTAAGTAACAAGAGTCTATTTTATGTATTTTCGCCTTTAATGTTGATAATGTGTTAAAAATTTGCACTTGCAGCAATACGCACAAGCTTGTGTCCAGTTGTGGTCCAGTTACAGAGGGCAGGGAGAGGAGAAATGAGCTTGAACTATTGGTCACAGAGAAAGAAAGAAAGAAAAAAACAAAGAGAGGGGGGGGGGGGGGATCAGACATGGGAATCTCTCAACCCTTCACCCAAACCCAAACATAAATACACCAAACTTTGATACAACTTGAAAAGAGACTGAAATAAAACATTCTCTTTCAATCGGCGTGACTGAAAACTGGAGCTAAAACAAATCTGCTAATGTGAGATTTGACGGCGTCTCTGTGAGGACTTACAGGACATGACATGGTTTATTGCTACAGCTCAGAAACAGACAAACAGCTACAGGACATTTGGTTCTATAAGCTGCAGTCGAGCTATTTTTAGTTTTAACTCTGTGTGATCGAGATGTAAGATGGAGTAGTTTGGGCGTGAATGCAACCAACAAAATCTTAACATCTCACTTATAAAATGTTTTCTTGCAGTTTTATTCTTGTAAATGAGTATGAGTTTTTGTTTTGTTATTCATAGTGGCCAGCATATACATGAGACTTCAGTGCATAAAGGGTTTTTATAACTGTACTGTATGTAAAAGTGAACCGCAAAAATTATTCTTGCACTGTGATCAGACACACAGGCAGAACAAAATTAAAAAATATCTACAAATCTACTTTTTTCAGGATCACTTGTGCTCTCTTCTTCTGTCACGTCAAAGCTGTTACACTATCACAGTGTTTCCCAAACCTTTTTTTCTGGGGACCCATATTTTAAAAGTCACAAATCTTCACAACCCAAGTCAATACACATTATTCGTAAATCACAAAATAAATTTGTGACCATTATTGAACATTAATGAGGATATTTTATTGTTGACCGAGTGATCGTGTCTCCCTGAACAATTAGTATTACTCAAGTTTTAAAAGTTTTAAACAATAAAAAACAGTAATCAGTGTTTCCCACAGAAAACTGGTTAGGCAAGACAGTGCTGCCGAAAAAGCGAGGAGCAGAGGGGGTGAGCAGAGATGTGAGGACCATAGTTTTGCGAGGATTCACGTGGTTCGAAGGGACGTAGTCAAAGGTCATGGCCATTTGTTGTCAAGGCCGTCTTAACTCTAAAGTGTTGTGGGAAATGGTTTTATTACTGGTAATTGAACCAGCAATAAAAGCTGTCCATAGAGAGCCTATGTGGACATTAAATGTAACTCTGTATAGGCGAGTTTCATTGTTGACAAAAGCGTGCGTTGCATGCTGGGAATTATTTTGGTCGGTGGCAAGAAACACTAATTCAACATGACGGAGGGAGCGAGAAAGCACGTAAAGGGTATTGATCCCGGTTATTTATCCAGTCTAACGGCAGAGGACCCAAGACCATTAGACCAGAAACTGGTCATAAGCATCGATGGAGCCAAATCACCCTTTTCAACCCCGACAAAAGGTGGACAAACCAAATTTCTGGTCAGAATCGCCAACTACCTGGACAAATATTCACTTTGTCGATATCCACAATGACTTGGTGGAAACTCCTGGGCCATTCACAGCAGAAAAGATGAAAACCTCCAAGAGTCTCGATGCGTTGTTGAACTTGTTGGAGTCCATGGTTTGCTAGGATCTTCTACATTTGCTCTGCACATGTTTGAAAGCCGTTTAATTCACCGTTAGCGGTTCTTTTCACTCAGAATACGAAAAAGACATTTTCCTTCTTCCGTGCTTCTATTTGTGCATCTGATAATGCAGCAGGAATTTACCATTATCGGGGATAAATACGCAAGGTTACGCACTGTGTTTGACGCTATCATGTTTCTTGCCTCCGACCAAAATATTTCCCAGCATGCAACGCGGGCTTTTAATAACAATGACGTCAGCTGAAACTCGCCTATATATGTATGTAAAAAAATCTCTTGCGAACCACCCAGTCTTTGGGAAACAATGCACTATCAAACAGAAGTAACATAGATAGCATCTGGTGGTCATATGTGAGAATACAACAGGGCCCATAGTACTCTACTCTCTGATCCGTGTTCTAATCTTGTTTCCTCATCATAAACATACTTGTGGTGTTGAGTTCTGAATCATTTGGATGATTTCAGCCCTGAAAATGTCAATCTCTACTGAATAAAAAGTAAAAGGACATCACAAGGTGGAACAGAGCATTTTGAGGTTTGGAGATATAGACAGACTGCTATTAAAGGATTACTCCAACTCAACTCCTTTTGTGTTTTTGATTGCAGTATGAAATGGCTTAAAGCTCGCAAGAGTCAGTTTTGCGTAATATAATAGTGCCTTTAAGACTCAAATCTTCTTGTCAAGTGTGTTATTTTTCCGGTTTTATACAGCTTATGTGTATTTCATTGGCAATTTAGCAACAAGACACTTTCCCCTTTTCATTTTTCACTTCCATTTGTTTTCCAGGTTGGTGGTTCGACGCCTGCGGTCCGTCCAATCTTAACGGAGTGTACTTCCCTCACGGACAGCACATCGGGAAGCTGAACGGAATCAAGTGGCACTATTTTAAAGGCCCCAGTTACTCCCTCAGAGCCACCGCCATGATGATACGCCCCCAAGACTTCTCGTAGAACCCCTCCTCCTCCTCCTCTCCTCAGTTCATTTTTGTTTTACAGCTCCAATCATCTCATACGTTTGGCACCGGATGTTTAGAATTATTTTTGAAAAGCCAAGCGAACTCTTGCATCTTTGACTCTGTTGTTTTCGCTCTCTTCTGTATAACTTGATGGACACCAGAAGAGGATTTTAACCTAACTGTAAACAATACGGATTATTTATGGACTAACATAACTTGTAAAGACATTTGTGATATAAATACAGAGAAAGTGAACTCTTTTTGTACGTTTTCCTGATTGGGAGTGGTACCTTCTGAACTGCGGGACAGACTTGTGTTTTCTCATTACTGTTTCTATGACATGTTTTTGTATTGCAACAACTGTATGTTAAAGTCCATTATGTGTTTGTATCATAGTGTTATCCTGTATCGCTAAAATATTATTGTTAAAATATGTGTCCTTGCTTCTTTTTGAGGTTATACAGGCATATTATCTTTGATTGCATTGGTTGATGTTCATCTTGCAAATAACAAAGCAAAGTGTAATACTTGACCTTTTTTGAGAAAACTACAGATATTCAAAACTGTTTGCAGCAGCGTGATTGAAAATGTGTCACAAAATACATGAAAATTACATTGTGACATAATTTATTTCAGCTGTCCCCAATGCACACGGTCAGTTAAATGTTTGGACACACGTTTTCATGTATATTTCTTCTTTATTTTTATGATTACTTGCACTGTAGATTCTCACAGAAGGCATCAAAACTATGAATGACACGTACGGAATAAAGCAAACAAAAATAAACTCAAAATAAGTCAAAACTATAAAAAAACACCATTTGCTTTGTGCCCTGGTTTGCACTTTTGGTATTTTTGACCCTGTGAAGTGAAAACTGTTTTCAGCTTGTCCAAGAAAGGGTGGAAGTAAAAGGCAGGAGGCTATTTGGACATCTTAAGCAGGAGAAGTTTATTTACCATTAATAATACGGGCCCGGGGGAATTTGAAAAGTCAACAAAGTTTGATTTCAAAAGTGAACATAGTATGATGTTTGAGTGTTCAAGCCCCTTCACTATGCTTCAAAAGGAGGAGGTTTATAAAGCAAGTGTGGTGAGACTATGAAGGCCAGAAGACACCAGTTAAAAGGCAACGCAATATGCCACAATTTAGATAATGCTGTGCCAATTGTATGTCAAGGGAAGCTCATGGTGTAAATATAACCTTTGTGAGTCAATGTTAAACTGAGATGATAAATTACTTAAATTCTCTTACAAAAAACATTTCAGGAAACTTCATCAAGAAGCTCATTGAGAGAAGGCCAAGGGTTTACAGTTCTGTTAATAAAGCAAAGGGTGGATACTTTGAGCCACACTAGAACCACCTAGTGCCTCCACCAATTTCATTTCTCTCCAGCAACTAGGTCAGGAATCAGAATACACTAGAGGGTTTGCAAAAAAACCCAAAAGTGCGAGTTCAGGCACCAGCCAATCCGTATATTCAGTGTCAACGATTCCCAATATCGAGGATTTACCGTATTTTACGCACCATAGGGCGCACTCATAAGCCTCCGACACCATCAAAAAACGCCTGTGTGCCCCACAATCCAGAGCGCCCTATACACAAATCCACTTGGGTGTCCCAGCACGACTTCAGTAAACTACAAAGCCACACCACCCACAACGCACGCAAACACAAGCGAGTGCAATGTGCCATTTCTAGCCACAACTGAACAACTGAGTCACTGCGAACACGCCGACAATCCAGCGGTCCCAGACAGCACCCTCCTTACACGCCACAACTGAACAAAGCCCAGAGTCACCGTGAACGCGCCAAACAAAGTCCGACTGACCCATCCAACTGTTGTGTTTCCTTTAATGCGTCTTATAGTCCGGTGCGGTTTATATGTGAAAAAAGTAAAAAAAATAGACCATTTAATGACAGTGCGCCTTATAATCTAGAGCGCCTAATAGTGCGGAAAATACGGTAAAGCAGGAACAAAGAGAATGTTGGGTGGATTTCATCAAGAAAGAAAGACGTTATTGCCCTTCTTCCTATGGGATTTGTGAAAAGCTTAATATACCATTTAGCCCCCTTAGTTACATATGTGACGACCAAATAGCAGCGATTGGTTAAATGAAAAGTACCTGCCTACCTGTCGAGCGAATGAATTCTAACACTGCGAGGTCAGATGGTTTCTACAAAGTGAAACCGGCTGATGAATCAGGCTAGGATACTTTGATTTGGATATAAAATATAAAGAATATTTAGTAGATTTATTTAAAACACTGACTGAGAAGGTGTGTCCAAACTTTCGACTGGTAGTGTGTATTGTTATCGTATGAAATTGCTGTTTACTTTTTATACTAAATTGGAACTTTATATTATTATGATAAATGATCCCTGTTAATTGCAAGTTTGTGTCGGATGGTCTAGAAGACATGATCTTACATCAAGTCACTGAAGTTCCTGAGGTGGGTTGCTATACCATGAAATAAAGTATAAAAATATATGTTGCAGTGCAGATTTCCTTTTACCTTATGTCCCCTTGTGCAGAAGTGACTTTGTTGTAGGCTGTTATGTGAGCTGGAGCAGGTGAGTGTGAGTGTGAGGGTGAGTGAGTGTGACAGTGAGTGGACATGATAACAGCGGGGGGTCTGCTCCTGACAGATTCAAGTACATGTGCTTATTTTGGAGCGGCATCTGCAACAGGATCCACTGGCCTTTTGTCATTGGCCCAGACACAAGAAGGAACTGCCAAGACTTAGACCTGAGTTATCACCTTGAATCACATTGGATAATAAATCATCACGTTTCCATGGAGATAGTCACACATGTAATAAAATGAGATGCAGATGCAGCGAGCAGTGTATGCCAGTATTCCTTCTATTACATTATATTTTGTAATGGGCAGGAAACAATGTAAAGCTCTTTGGAATCATTTCAACAGAATTAAGAAAAATATGCTGTCATGAAAACAAAGACTAAAACACAGCTTGATTATAGAACATTAAAGTGTGCCATAACCTTACGAGAACTTAACATGCTACTCATATACATTCTTGTGATCAAAAGTGCACTTTGAGACTTTTCCGGTGGCGGGTCCACCACCTGCTTGTCTGTTATTTGCCTGGAATGTTCCACAGTATGGCATTAAACTTATGTATCTTGCATTTATATCATTGCAGGTCTTTTTATTGTTCAAAAATTGCTTGAAACACACTCATTCCGTAACTGAGTCTGGTGGCATCGCCCGCTTGTGTTCATGAAGATAGAAAAGTTTAATACCAAAGCTTTAACATCTCCATGAAGATGAGGATTCGGTGGACCATCTAGCAGAAAAGTTACATAATGCCCTTTAAAGGAGGTCATTCCTGTTGTGTTCACCTTCTACCAGACCAATCGTCTTGTTAAACTGCACTGAGACCTTTGACTGACACAAAGGCCACTGAGAAGCACAGAGGAAATGTTACTGCAGCAAAACTTGAATTATCTATCTCTCTCTTTCTCTCTTAAAGATGTATTGTGCAACTTTTCTGCCACCTGATAGTCGCCATGAAAATTGTAATACTTTATATAAATAAATATAACATTTAAATGATGCGTCTTCTATCAAACGTGTATTCTGTTAAATGTTTATTATCTTGACAAACATGTACCTACGGTGGGCAGGATCGTCTCCCCAAAGATCTGAACTGTTTGTTGGCATGGTAGCACCGTGTGTTTGTTTCCAAGGAGACAGACAGCAAATGCCAAATTGTGGAACCTTGTAAGTAAAGGAATAATGGAACCATGGAGACAAGCAGGTGATGCACTAGGAGGTTACATAGTGTCTCTTTAAGGAAAGTGCCTGTTTGTTATTGCAAAAGGTGCATGTGAAAAAGTGCCGTAACACTGTAGCTGACAGTTTATTGGCAAACTAAAACTTTAATATAGTTTATATAAAAGCAGTGGAGTGTGTCTGTACTGTCTGCCAATAGGGCACCAGTGTTTAGAAATCCACAAAACAATACCAAAGCTGGAGCGATAGTCTTTGATAACTCTCATTTGACCTCATGCATTTGCGGATTTTCAGATTTGTTCAAATATTGTCTAAGATGTTGTCAGTGTGGTGTTGGGAGGTTTAAATAAAACATTATGTGAAGCTCTAATCTTTTCCATGCGTGTTTAGGCTGATCCGCTTTGGTCCAAATCTTTGTGACGATGGACGAGCTCCGCAGTCCAAAACAAGCATGTTTGAAAAGCATTATGAGTTTATCTGTAAATCTGCCCATATAAATCCTATAGCGTCATGGAGGGGGAGATAGATGTGTAATAAATACTGGAGAACTGTGTTTCTTCATTTGAGATACGCTAAGCAGAGAGATGCACTACTCTATATCCATTCATCCATTCCTTCCATCCATCTTTCCATCCATCCATCCTTCTTTCCTTCCATCCATCATCCATCCCTAACCCTTCCTTCTATCCTTACTTCCATCTTTCCATCATCCTTCCTTCTATCTTTCCATCCTTCCTTCCTTTTTTCTTTCTTTCCATCTTTCCATCCTTCCCATCCATCCAGCCGTCCTTCCTCACTTCTGTCCATACTTCCTTCCATCTTTTCTTCCATATTTCCATCTTCCCATCCTTCTATCCATCATCCATACATCCTTCCATCCATCCATTCTTTCCTTCCTTCCATCTTTACATCCATCATTCCTTCCATACTTCCATCCTTCCTTCCTGCTTTCCGTCCATCTGTCCTTCCTTCTATCCTTACTTCCATCTTTCCGTCCTTCCCGTCCATCTAGCCTCCCATCCTTCCTTCCACACTTTCGTCCATACTTCCTTCCTTCCTTCCTTCTTTCCTTCTATTTTTCCATCTTCCCATCCTGCTATCCATCCATACATACATACATCCTTCTTTCATCCATCCATCCTTTTTTCCTTCCCTCCTTTCATGTTTCCATCCATCCTTCCATCCATCTATCCCTCCTATAACGTGCAGTTTTCTATTTCACACTTTCATTTTTTTTTTTTTCTCCATGATTATTTACACAGTAGATTCACTCTGAATGCATCAAAATTATGACACAAATGGAATAATAACATAAACGTATCTAAATATGCACCCTTTGAACCCTGGTTTGCATTTTTGGTATTTCTTGACCCCGACATGGCACAGCTGTAAAGTCAAAACCATTTCAGGAGACAT